TATAGATGCAGCTGGGCAGCCATCCCCGTCTGCGGCCGCACTTTGCTCCGTAAGCTCGGAGGCAGCCGGCTATGGCAAGGGCTCAACCCTCGAATCCGAAATCGCAAACTCTACCCTAATCCCTACCCTCGGGTTTAGGCACCCTGACCCCTGAAAGGCTTTGGATGTTCTGTGCCTGCGGCAGGGTCTCTTCTTCAGATGCTTCACCCTTAACCCTAAACCCTAAAACCTAAACCTTAAACCCTAAACCCTAAACCGTGGAATGTTGTGGCGGTGTGTCTTGGGAAACGGCTTCAACCTTGGGGCTGAGCTCACTCGAAATCTGCCAAGCTTTCCTGAGATCTGCAGCCGAAAGTTGGGGTGCACCTTGAACTGGGGCCTAGTTGAAGATTAGGAGGTGGGGCTTAGGGGTTTAGGGTTTACAGGAGCTTATTGTTTGTGGTTTAGGGTTTAGGGGTTTAGGGGTTCAGGGTTTAGGGTTTAGGGTCTTAGGGGTCAGGGTTCAGGGTCTTAGGGCTGAGAGCACATATCGGGTAGAAGGGTGAGTTCAAAGGCTTTACACCAAATCCTGCCTCCGACAACCCACAAGCTCCGTCGCCCTCACAATGCCCGAATACGCTGAAACTCAAGGCCCTAAAACTCTCGACCTCACACGCCTCAAACCCTCGAGTCTAAAACCCAAAACCCTAAAAACCCTCTCGGCCATACAAATCCCCAAAAACCCTCACTAACCCTAAGCCCTAAACCCTAAACCCTAAACCCCTAAAACACCCTGAAACCCGGGGATGACCCCCGGAACCCAAGGACTTACCCCGGCGAAAAATTCCCCGCCGTTGAACCGAAAAAAAAAAACAACAACAACAACAACAAGCTGAGACCTTCTTTCGCTGAGGCTCAGTTTAAGGTCGAGGGTTTCGGGTGCCTTCTTCCGGAGTCCAGGCTCAAGGTTTCGGGCTTGGGGTTTAGAGTGTACCTGTAACCGGGAAGGCCTACATTTTTAGGGTTCCTTATTATGGTTTCTATATATAGTTCCTTAAAAGGGTAGGTCTTTTCGGTTACAGGTAGGGTTTAGGGCTTAAGGTCTAGGGTTTAGGGAGTAGGGTCTGGGGTTCGGGAGTTGACGTTTAGGGTTTAAGGCTAAGGGCTGTCAGGGCCTGGGGTCCTGCACAAGCCTGTCGCGCCGCGAAGCATACCGTAACCATGAAGCAGTGCAATGAAGGATGAAGACACCCTAAATCCTAAACCCTAAACCCTGAACCCCAAACCCTAAACCCCAAACTATAAACCCTAAAGCCTAAATCCTAAACCCTAAATCCTAAACCCTAAACCCTGAACCCCAAACCCCAAACCCTAATCCCCAGAAAGGTGTGCCGGAGGCCTAAGGCTCTCGGGTTTGAGGTTTAGGGTATCCGGTTTAAGGTTCGGGATTTGACGTTTTGGGTTTAGGGTTTAGGGTTCCGGGTGTTAAGTTTTGGGCTTGGCAGAGAAGAGCTTCAGCCTAGGATGAACCTGGTGATAGACAGCAGCCTAAGCCCAAACACCCAGACACCTAAACCCTGAACGCCAAACCTAAAACCCAACTTCACACGCGAACGGCCAGCAACTGCGGTGACAGCAATGGGAAAGTCAAGATAGCAATAGCGCTGGCCATGATGAAAACAAGCTCATCATAAATATTCCGTACCTCATAAAGAACTTCAGGTCATAGTGCAACGAATGTTTTCTTCAAGCATCGTGGGGTTTCGGGTTTTTGGCTTTGCTTCGGTTCCATGGGACATGCTATCATGATTGAGTCTACCGTCTGCATGCTGGTGACAGGAGTCTTGGGACTCTCTGGGTCTAGGGTCTTAGGGTTTAAGGGGGTTTAGGGTTTAGACTTGAGGGCTTCGAGTTTGGGGATTAGGGTTGAGGGTTTAGGGTGTGGTGAAGTAGGAAGCTCTGCTACAGTTCCGGTTTAGGAGGCTTTAGGTTTAGTCTACGTGTTCCCTAAGCATTTACGCCGGAGCCATCATTAAGCCATGTCCCACAATAATTACCAACAGCCTAAAGCCTCGATACTAGACGTGTTAGTCTGTTATGCGAAACCACGCTACATGCTAAAACATTCTGCGACGCACCGACCCCCCCCCCACAAAGCCGCTGACCTAAACCTGAACAACAAACCCACAAATGTAGGGGCCTTGATAATTAGAATAAGGTTTTGGGGTATATCATACGTAAGGAACCCCCAAAAAAAATAGTATCGGTAATCATTAAGGCCCCTAAAGCCCTAAATCCCTAAACCCTAAACCTGAAACCCCTACACCCCTACACCCCTAAACCATATAATTACTTATTTAGGGCCCCAACTCCGAAGTTCAAGAGCCCACGGCTCGCTTTTCAAACTTGTCCCGGCTTTCTCCACTGTTCGTATCTCCCGGCCCCCTGGAGAACCTTGCCTGCTTCACAAGAAGTCCTCCAAGGAGGGAGCACGCAGGGGTACTGCTGCCGCCCGAGGGCAGAGTGACCAAGCATGGACTCAGATTTTAGGGTTTAGGCTTTGGTGTTTGAAGTTTGGGGTTTGGGGTTTAAAAGTTGAGCTATTTCTGGTATTTTTTGTTGTTCCCGTGTACGCTGCGCTCTTGCCTTTTTTGTGGTGGGGGAAGTTAACACCGGGGCCCTTGAAAGCAGAAACACTTTCGAAAATTGATCAAGCTTCTATATTGGTCTGCTTCGAGTTGAGGGGTTGGGCTTCAGGAGCGCAGATCTACCTGCACAGCTCCGTGGCTTGGCAAAAGAAAAGGGTGTTCAATACTACCTACATACATACACATATATATATGTGTGTGTATAACTAACACTGTATATATATATACACAGATATGAGCCCGACGCCTTTCGGGTCTATTTAACAAGGCTTTATGCAGCACAACATCAGACTCTTTGTTAGAGAGTTCAGACTCTTTGTTAGAGAGTGTAGTTGTTATGTCATGTGTGTGTGATACCTTGCCCCTCGAAACCAATCTCGTAGCATAGCTTTGCTCTAATATGTGTCACAAATCCTACTGAACACAGCCTACAACCCAAAAAACACAAGTAGTCATGCTGGGTATTGAGCCCTGCTACTAGGTTTTAAAACAGCATCTACCCCCATAAAGCACAAAACAATCATACTAAGTGTTGCCTATGGCCCTGCTACTACCCGCAAAACCCTCACCGCGAGCCCCGCCCGGGCTATGGGTGTATGCCATTCAACTGGGTCCTGGTTAACTTTCTGGAGAGTGGGCTGTCATGGGGCCTGGGTTTTTGAATATAGTAATTTATGATGCTTCTACAACAATGCTACACAATTATGCTGAAGAACACATAAAACCAAGGATACAATTGACATTTTTGCATATGCATATTTATATATATATATGTACATATATATGTATATGTATTTCCAAGTTGCTGCCATTGCGTTCCAATGTACCTTGGCTGTGGGCTGGCTTGGAGCAAGCAAAACAATCTAAGCAAGCGATGCTTGCCGGGTTTACTAATTACTAGTTGTCTCACACATACAAGCAGACACGCATACCATACTTTTCATACTCGCACTGCACATCTACCGGCCTAGTGCTTGGAGCTGGGCCTTTTCAAGACCTTGCTTGCCGGCTTCTTGCTACAGGAGTACGGTCCGCTGGACTTCTTTCCCCTCTTCACAAAAGAGGCCAAGTAGTCTCCACAGCTTCATTATGAAGTCTGCAAAAATACAACACTTAAAGGCATGTCTGGACGGAGTGCAACCATTTAGGACACGAGCGTAACCTCGGAACCAACTGAAGACCTGTTCGGCTGCACTGCTGTTGGTGCGTTTGAACCTTAGGCTCAGATGCTTCTGATACAGCGGGTTACATTTGCATGTCTTCGTGTGGCCTTGCGCATGAAACACGTCTACTGCCCAGTATTTCACTTGGTTCATAACCTTGAAATGGCGAGCATGGGGAAGGAATGAACAGGCTCGGTCGACGATGACCCCGTCGAGGTTGGGAAACTTGGGAATGACGTCCATGAGTGCGGCCTCCAGAATTGCATTCCCCTCCGCCTGGGACATGTGTTTCGCCCACAGCATGCGCTGATCGGCAGGGTGGACCACCATGAACCACCCATGCCCGAACGGATTTGTATCCTTGCCACGTTTGCCAGGATTGCCGGCGTGCCGGTGGCTGTTAGCACATTTCAGATGTACTTTCGCGTGGCTGTTTGCCACCACCTCTGTGACGGCCTTCCTGTTGTGAGGAGGTAGTACATGATGGAGCACGTGGTGTTCGTAGATCTTGAGAGTCAAGGGCGAGTCCAAGTGTCCACCGGTTGGGTACAACTCAGTCAAGGCCGTCTAGTAGACGTTAGCTGTAGCATACGTCTTGGCCGGATAGCTTGTTGGCTTTAAGGCCAAAGGTGTGACGATACACGTCCTGTACCGCCCGGGATGATACGCATGCCCGAAACTCCATGCTGGCATGGTACTCCAAGACTGAAGGCAACTTTGTTGGAGTCAAACAAAGCGCAAGCCTTCTTCACGTCTGCAGGCTGGGCCGTGTTCACCTTGTCAGAGTCGTGGATTGAGAAGTTTGGACCGGAAGTTAGTCGACAGCCATAAGAGGTGCATCTCCATGTTCGGACTTTGATCTTGACCTGGCCCAGCATGTCATAGAGGGTGGCTTCGATCTCGTGAAACGGCGACAGGTTCCCTCCGCGTGAGCATTTCTTCAAATGCGTTTCGAAGACCTGAAGTTCATTCATCATGGCCGCTGGACGCTTCATGGGCATGGTGCTTGTGACTGCAGACCCACCCCTTTACAGAAACACGATGCCTGGAGTCAAGCCGAACTTGACGATCACAACTACAAACTGATCTGCAAGACATGTTCGACAGTACAAAGTGCAAGGACGAAGAAGACACATGCGACATGTAGTCGGTCATTGTTCTCTTCTGAGTCAACCACAGTCGTGAGAAGTCAAAACTCTCCGAATCAGTCCTCGTAATCTGGCGACAATGGCTCAGCATCGGAATCGTTCAAGTCAATCCTGGCTTGCTTGGCCGGCGGGGCTGTGATGGGAGGGCTGGCGGACACGGCTTCTTCATGGTGGCGATCGGCAGGACTTGAGGCTGCTGCGGCTGAGGCACGATGCGGAGTCGCGGGATTCGAAGCCGTCGGAAATCCTTCGTTCCAGCGATCGTAAGTAGCACCCCTGCGTAGGTATTCCTTCTCCTCCGGCGAGGCGAGCAATTCGGAGACTAAGTTCGTTTCTTCTTCCACATACTGATCAAAGTCCGCGTACTTGGTGTGTTGTCCGTTCTTGTAGTGATTGTAATGCGGCTTGTTGGTCTCGTGCAACCAATCTTCCGTAATCCCACCACTGCTGACGCAAAGGATCTTCTGGCTTTGGTGTTCTGAAGCCAACCGTACATAGATCGCATTATCACCGGCAATGATCACAGAAGCCTGCTTCAAAGCCGCCATGACATGAGGCATGGGGGGCATCATTTACAGCCGGCTGGAACATGGCCAAGAACTGCTTCCAAGTGACAGTGGACAGGCCAACGTACTCCGGCTCCTTGTCGCGGCACCATTCATCGTTGAGGAGAACCCGGCACTGATTCTGCACAAACTTGGCTGCACGATATCGAGCAGATACCAAACCATTTTCGCCCACATCAAGAAATGATTTGATATCTTCGACATTGATGGAGGGAAGGAGCGGGTCGTCCAAGATGACAGGGATGTGGACTTCACCAGGTCGCTCTCTAAACCCATCTATCTGCTTAGAGCGACGCCATCCCGGAAGGAAGCCATCCATGTTGCGGGACTGTATCAAGAATCTAGCCACAGACATGACCATGATGATCGCCGCAGGAGTCTTGCCTATGCCCGGCTTGCCGAGAATGATCAAACCAAGGCTCAACATGGTAGGTAGAATCATCGGCACCGCCGTCCGCTGGAACTCGCTGTTCAGGTCACGGAGGAGCAGGGGGAAGAAGTATTCCGGTTCAGATTGACTGTTACCGGTGGCCCTGTTGGCACACGCTTTGCCCACAATATGATGTGGCCAACCATAGATCGGACTGTCCTTGTCGCGAATGTTTAACAAGGACCATAGGAGCTGCTCGTGCTTGGCCTGGCATTGGCTAGTGGAGCGTGGTTGTTGATATGCTCAATGCCGACCTTGAGCTCTTCTGGACTGGGGTCCGAATTCATGTCACCATCGCTGTTTGCCTTCACCTTGGTGATGTTTTTCTGTCCAAGACTTTGTGTCATCCACATCTCACCTGGTATGCGGAACAAGAGGCGAAGGAAGGCCTTCTTCACCAAATCGGAGCTATCGCAGCTGGCGTAGTTCAGGACTTTCACCTCCTGGGCACAAAAGGCTTTTGGCAAGGCCAAGCGGAACTGGGCCTTCGAATGAAAGAATTTCAGCACGGTGTTGGTGTCGTTGTCCTGATGAGGCCATATCACGAGCTGGAGTTTGCATTGGTCCCCTAGCGCATCTCGTGGACGAACAGAATCAGGTAGATGACCTATTCGGTTTGGGTCCGAGTTCATGACGTCCACGATCGTTTGGTAGTCCGAGGAGGAGACATTCTTCACTAAGTGAAAGAACTCCTTGAACTTCTTGCCTTTGATGAGAGGAGAGTCTACAAGCGGGAGGTCCCGGATACTATGCTCTCCGTCGGTGATGTTGATGTGCTTGTGAGCGTCACAGTACTGGATGTACGTGTACTTGGCTGCCGCCATAGCCTGGTCCATTGCATGGCGGGGCGAAAGTGTTACTTAACACTGGCGACGTGCAGCTACACGATGTTCGGAAAGCTTTCGTTTGGGAGAGGCGAACAGTTATTTTCAAGACAACGCCATGTTTATAAACGAGGCGGGTGTTTATAAACAGCCCTTGCGTGCAAACAGTGGTTGCACAACATGTACAAGCACAGCACAAGCTCGAACATCACACTGTTTTCTACTGGGAAGACGTTAAGTCTCGACACTGCCGCGCATCTGCTGTCTAGGACTAGGAGCTGTCAGAATCCGGCTCTTCAAAGCGCGTCGCTTTGCGACGCAGATGCTCTTAAGAAGACTCTTCAACGTCTGCGACCGCTTCTTTGAGCCGGAGCATCTCCGATCTAAGGCAGTCGTCTGCTGACAGATATCGTGCCATTGGGAATCCCATCCCATAGTGTCCACTACAGGAAGAGCACTGCTGCTGGACGAGGAGCTTGAGGAACTGGACGTGCACTCATCGGCATTGGTATCCACAGCGGCCTCGGGAGGATTCTCAACGTCTTCGGTTGCATGCTGGTCAACATCCTCCTCGCCAAGGTCTCGGAGGAAGAGGGCTGCTCAACATCTTGTGTCGCTAGGTTCTTGGATGAAGAGGGCTGCTCAACATCTTGGATCGCCAAAGGCTTCTTGGCACCTTTCTTCGGAGCTGCAAACCAACGAAGTAGGAGTTGTTGCGCTTCATCGGTCCAACCGCCTGAGACACCAGTAGGCAAGGAAAGCTTTGCCTGCAGGTAGCACATGTGGCTCTGGAGCTGCCGGAGATTGAGGCTCATCTTCGTCTCGTGCGCGCGGATGGTCCCAGTCGCGACCTGGTCCAAGAGACTATGTGGGCTCGGGGGGCTTACAGTCGTCGTTGTCTGCCTCGTCCTCGAACTGGTGCTTGTCGTCGTCTTCGCCAAGCTTACGTTAGCAAGCTGGAAGCGGCACGTGCCATCTCCTATCTCTAGAAAGCCTGCTACGGCAGCAGCTCGTTTCATAGCTGCAGTCTCGAACGCTTGAGCAGAACAACTGCCCAGCACATGTGATCACATCTTGCGCGGAGGCAGGGCTTCAGATCTTGAGCAGTAGGCGTAAGAAAAAATTTGCTACTTGCGGTCGAGAAGCTGTAGTATAGAACAATAAGAATACGATGACTATGATTACAACAGATACATTCACGCTACGACACTACATAAACCACTAACGCAAAAGGCAAAAGAAGCAAACGAAGTTGTCGATGTTGGATGGCGTACCTGCGGTCAAAGGAGAGGGGGTGGGGGGGGGGGGGGGCGGGGG